TGAATACAACAATACCAACAACAACAATAGCAACAACAATGGCTACAACAACGCGTACAATATTAGAAAATAATTTAGATAACATTCATAGCGATAATAATATAAATAATGAACAAGATAATAACAATAATAATAATAATAATAATAATAATAATAATAATAATAATAATAGTAATAATAAAAACAACATTAATGTAAAACATAATCATAACAATATTCAAAATAAGGAAAACGAAATCAATGAAATAAGTAAAACAAAGTTAATAAATAATTGTGATAAAATTTCATTACCGTCCACAAACGCCGTTAGCACTATTACGGCTGCTGCTACGACTAACAATGCCGGTAATACAGCCGTCACTTCGGTATCGTCACTTTCAACGTCATCATTATCACCATCGTCGCTGTCATCGTTATCTTCGGATGCTACAAAAACTACATTAACTCTACCGTTAATAACACCAATGCAATCACCGATTCCTCCGCCCCCGCCCCCGCCGCCGCCACCGCCGTCGTCCTCACCGCCATCAACTTTACCAAATAAATATGATTTTGATTTATATGAAATGCAAACAATTGAAACAAATTCTGTTTTAACTAAAACAAACGATGATTCTTTAATTGTAACAAACGCCAACGGCGATAACAGTGAAATGTTCGCTCGAGGAAATTCATCATTGAAACGTGCCATACCAATAACGCGTTCACAGCAATTGAAATTGCAACAGGCAAGTCTCAACATTACGGAGAGCTTTAATATAAATAAATTTTGATCAAAATATTTATATAACACAATAATTAAAATCAATTAGATACATAACATATATATATATATATATATATAAAATATATATATATATTTATTACTATTACCCATTACTATTAATTTAATCAGCGAAAGTTCCAAGACTAAAACCTTAAAGCACCCGCATTCTAAGTCCATCTAACGGCTTTATTGAAAAACGACCTCGGATCGATGGATGAACTGTTAGCCGCGTCGACTTTTCATACTCGATCACTTAGGCGGATTTACATATATATGCATAGGTAGTAAATAAAAATGTTTGATGATAAGATAGGGCGTGAAAATCTTTTCACTCGATTAATCGATCGTATATCGTATCTCTTATACCGTATTATATTTATTTATTCGGAAAAACCTAATAATTAAAAGCACTTTGGCCATTTAATAATTATATGCGAGCTTTTTAATCGATCGAATTGCGAAGCAAAACTTAGGGGATTCAACGTAAAATTCTTGACGAAAAACTCTGCAATTATAAGATTGTAACTTGATATAAAGAGAAAAAAAATTGTGTACTATATGATAACTGGGGTGCAGGATTATGAATAGATTTTCCCGAATTCTTGTATTTAGCAGATCTGTGGGGTGAGATAAATGTAAAGCGAGACCAAACTTGTTCTTATAAGGAAAATTACTAAAATTGAAAATCCATTCCGCTATTTAAGATGCTCATGTGTATGTCTGTGTGTGTGTGTGTGTGTGTGTTTTCGCTATGCGAACTTCAGGTCGGACTCTTTACAGGTACTATTGGTGATGGTGGTGGTTGCAGTAGCATGCATGTATGCGAAACGCCATTCACGGCGTCTACGTACTAATCCTGGCCCTCACATATACTTTATCTATCACTCCCCTCTGCAAGACCAACGTAAGGTATTGCTTCCTTTTGCTTTTGATCAATTCTAAACGCTTTACGGTATGTGAATCGATTCTCATCGGTCCTAATCAATGCACTCTCAATCCACGTGGTACCAATTTACTAAACTTCTTTTTGTTTTTGTCGCCTTAAGAAAGTCATTTAAAGTTGTTTCGTTTTTGTACCGTTGCCTTATGATGGAATGGACTGGTCTTTCTTAATTTTTTGAAAAATTTCATCTACGTTCTTAATGATTGGTAGACTAGAGCACGGAACGCAGCGTTAACATCGAAATTTCTAAGTCCGAAAAGTGGCATTTGCTTGCTGCTCTTTACTTTAATAAAGCATCTTCGTTACAAACACGATGAATTGTTTAATAAACTTACGAAGAGGTGTTCCTTTTGTGATGCTGCGAAATTTTGGCTCATTTGTTTTCTCAATGACTGTCAGCTGTGATGGAATCAGTGTTACCCAAATTACATAAGTCGAAAGCTTTCGATTGCGGAGAGTACCGTTAAGGTTTTCCCCTTATCTAATATATATAATAAGTCTTATCCCCTTACCTTACCTTATCTAATGTACACCGTAACCCCCTTAGTGTTGGTTTATGTTCAACCTTTCTAGATTCCGGTTAATCGATTTAATTAGACATTCCATGCAAGCAAGCATTAAAGAAGCTCTAACGTTTATGAGCTTTGTATAAATGATTGAATTAGTCTATCACCGGCATAATTGCATTATACTATAAAGATGATTCTATAAATAAAAAAAAAAAATAAAAATAAAAAATTTATTTGAAATATCGTGAGCGGTATTGTAATGTTTGTTCATGGTACGCGCAGTCCTCGTATAACACGATTAATCCATACCGCTCTATACCGAAATCTAAACGTATACGAAACTTTTTTTTATATATTTAGTTAAACTAAGACATAATATAAAAGAATATAATTTAAACTTGGATATAATATAAATCAAGGCCATAGTCGATCGCGTTGCAACGAAACCTGTTTTAGATTATATCGAAGCCGTGACTTTTAAATAATGTAAATCAAGTCTACGTATACCGTATTATATCGAAACGAAGTCTTACGGTGTAAGCTTCTAACGTAGTTTAAATTTCATTTGAAACGTATGTATGGAAATGTAAAACTAAGTTAACTTCAACTTTTCATAAAGAAATAACATAAAATTCAATATTGAGATGATGTATAAAAAATTAAAAATGTATTTTACAAAATGAAATTTACAGTCATAAAATTTATTTTCTTTAAAGATTATAGATAATGGATTTTTTCTTTTTCTCAAAGTCGATTGAAATTCATCTGCACTAGGGATTTATCCGTCATTACAAAACTTTACTTATGTAGTTGCATACAAACTTGATTATTTTCGTATATATGCGTGTTATAATAATCTAAAATTTTGTACGGCGTTATACGAGGGACACCTGTAAGTCATGTTTAAGCCATTTTCATTTTAATTCAAAAATTTTTCTTTTTTTTTTTTACAACTCTTGTTATGGCTGATTAAGCCAAGCCGAGTTTCTCGGGCAAAAGGGAAAGTGGATTTCTCTCTCTGGTTTTCTGCTTCAAATGCAAAATTTTGGAAAAAAATCTATGAATAATAGGCGACATTAAACACTATTTCTCTCTCTTTCTCTCTCTCTCTCTCTCTCTCTCTCTCTCTCTCTCTCTCTCTCTCTATTATTTTTCGATCAAAATCAAAACAATGCGTTTGGAAAAGTCTCAGGTCAGTTTGTCAATCGATAACTAAAGTCGATAAAAATCAGTAATGTTCATAACACTTTTTGTATTAACCATCAAGGCGTATTTATATATATAATGTGGTGGAAGTGAGAGCAAGTCCAGTTTTCGCAGAAAAAAGAGATGAAGGGATCTTTTGCGATCAAGTGACTAAAATTCTCTTTGATACTTAATTTACTTTACTGAAGGGAATTGTAAATATTTCATCCTTTTAAAGTAAATTCATAGGAGGATTGATTTCAAAGGCGATTCGGAAAATTGCTTTGGAAAGTTATGATTCAAAATTTCATATAACGTTTAGTTTTAAGCAAATCCAAGCCAAGTATCGATAAATGATTAAAAGATACATTTGTCTTTATAATCGTATCCATTGGCAATGTCCAAGATCATCTCATTATTCGTGGCGTTTAATTAAATTTAAAATCAGATTTTTAATGGATTTTTCATTATTAACCCATTTCAATATCGAATGTATTACATGACCACTTAAGGTGTTTCTATTTGTTGTTTACAAAAACTATTGATATTTGGAACGCAAAGGCTTATTGAAAACATAATAATTCATCCACTTATGCGTTTGTTATGTTTTGTTATGACTGGTGGCATGTGTTTTTTGTAAATAGGCCCAACACTTAATAGGTTTCTAAATTGTCAATACATATACCATATAAGCAATAAACATATACATATATATATATATATATATATATATATTAACAAAAACATGCGCTTATATGTTTGCACGCAGCGTGAATAAGATTTGTATGTAGCCTCATTAGAAAATGTGTGCCTAAGTGGCCTCAGTATCTCAGGTAAATATAGCAACTACTTAGCAATTGTTGCATTTAAAGATATTTAAAGAAAAAAAGAATATCATAAGTATATGTATGCAACGTGCAGTTAACCGTCAAAAACGCAAAAATACTGTATGTAATTCACCCTGTTCTAAAAACTAGTAAAAATAAAAGCAACAACAACAGGCAATGGCCTCGTTAAGCCGTTGTAGGCAACATTTATTGTTGCAATCTTTCTCTCTCTCTTTCTCTCTCTCTCTCTCTCTCTCTCTCTATCTCTAACCTTCCATACGATCTGCTAATGTTATTCATAATAAAAAAGTCTCAACGGATTAGATGTGAAGGGGGGACGAAGCAGGGATGTGTGACACAAAGTTAGCAGTACAAGCCAATAATAACTGCAAAATAAATGAAATGTATTGTGCTTTCCTTTTATTTATTTTCTTTTTTTTTCTTTTAATTTATTTTCATTCTTTCGTTTCTTTTCTTCCCTGAATGAAAAGAACACTGAGCAAATTGCATAAAAATGTATAGAAAGAAAATGATTTTTTCTTTTCCTCTCCATGTGCTAATTAAATTAAAACAAAGCCAATGCATTTGTTATTGTTGTTGGCGGCAAAGGATTAGTCTTAAAAATAATTGAAGTGCAATAAAAGTTTTGTTTTGTTTTGACTTCTATTCAAAATCTGTGTTGACATAAATGTCTTTTATATATATTTACAATTTTGTTTTCTGCTTTTCTTTTATTTTCTATTTTTGTTTCCCTTTTGTTTTGGTTTTAGGAACAATTGCGTCGCCGTCGGGAGGAAGAAGAACGTATCGCCCAACAAAATGAATTTTTGCGAGCCAGTTTGCGGGGCTCGCGTAAACTTAAAGCTTTACAGAATAGCAAATCGCCAACAACAAACAACGCAGCTCAACAGCCACCCCTGGCTGCCGAACGTGTAACAGTCAGTAGTGGTATAGAAAATGAAGCCTATGTGGAAGATGAAGATGTCGAAAATATTACAAGTAAGTCAAATGAAAATATTATAACTTAAATAATTAAATATCTGACGAAAAGAATTTCACATGAAAATCTTGATACCTTACTACAGTCTGTACATAACTCATCAATTCAACCCACGTTTCCAATACTCTTTGAATTTTTTTTAAACATATTTCGAACGTAGCCGGGCGCTATTGATCGTTCAAGAGATGGTACAAGCCAAAGACGCATCCCAGTTGAATGACGCTGCGAAGAGTCAATTTTCAAAGTGTAACCCTTCTAGACTGCTGGCCTGTCTTAATGCTATGAAGCATTTTCAACGATTGTCGTCTCCATTTCGTGTAAAATGATTGATGGAGTTTCCAGCTGCAGCTTATCTCCGAGATATAGATTCAAGTTTGTCCGGTAAAAGTTAGGTTCACAAGGCGGCCGCAGGGTTATTAACATGCTAAGAATTCAGCGAGTAATCGATCAGTTTGTCATTGCCAGCAATCTCGTCCAATATTTTACTTCTTCCTGCATTTGTAACATGATTTTATTTTCAAGCAATCAACTCATTATTCACGCAGATAGAACTGAACACATGGCATTAGTTACGATAACTGTTCCAAAAAATCAACGCACTTCTCTACGTCTCTTCTATATAAAAAGCGGCCTTACTTTCCTTTAGAAATATTTCGAGTGTGTTGAAGTTTTTGTCGTTTATCGCTAGGTTAAGTAATAGATCGATCAGTTCATGAAAGTTATGCATTATCGGTACATTACCCGACCATACCGAATAAGGGCTAGGAGAGCTGAACCACCGAGCTTGAAATGGCCGAGCAATGTTAGTAGATATGGAAGTAGATAACATGCGAGTAGTGTGTCGATCTTCTTCGTCAACTTTCGCCTCAACTTTTTTTCTAATATAATTTTGAAAGTCAATCTATTCCATTACAGTGTCCGCAAAGTGGAGAATTTGATTGCTACATCTGCTAACTCTTTTTCCCAAGAAACCAATATGACCCGATACGTTAAAAATTTTAATTTTGTATCCGTCAGTGGTAATCGTATTCCATACTTCGGTAATGGTCTTGCAGGTCAACTTTGCCGGGTTTCAGATGGTTATTACGACCGACAAACTATCTGTGACAATAATTGTTTTGAGTTTCATTTCGCGAGCAAAGTTTATGACATGAAGAGTAGCTCTAGCCGTTGTTGTAAATGTTGAAGCGCTTTCACTTAGGGTGGCATCTGCTCCTGCGTAGGTATGAGACAGCTAGTTGATCTTAGAATCGTCAATGAAAACCAGATGCTAACCAATATTTTTCAAAAATGACTTCGTCGCCATTATTTCTTTGAAGACAAGATATGGCGTACATTCTGAGTGAAATACAACAAGAGTTGGCTTTTCAAAGGGACTATGGTTGAGAATATGAGTATCTCTTTTGCAATACGCTTACACGAGTTTACTGCGGAATTGTAATCTTTTCGCTCTTATGTCGATAATAGCTTTCTTCGCCTTCGCCTCGGCCCAGTATTAAATTGCCAGAGTTGAGAAATTTTACGATGATTTTAGCTTGTAAGTTAAGCTTGTAAGTTAAGGCAACTAAATTCAATTCAGTGTAATAAGAACATATATCTTAGACTCTTGTCGAGATGAGATATAAGTATTATCATCAAGTCTTCTGTTATTGTCAAGGTTTATTTTTATTGGTATCTTTTTTTGGAATTTCTGATACCGTGAACGTCACGCGACGTCACATGACGTGTGGTTAGCATTTAAAGAATTCTAAATTGTTTTTTAACGATATATTCGAATGATGTCATTTTTCAATTCCAAAGGATAATTGGTCTCATCATGTCGTTTTCTTTAGGTTATGGGGACTTGATAAACGCCCTTAATCGTCTTCAAACGCAACTTACAAAGAGTGGTATGTCAACGCTTGCGGGACGAGTGGCAGCAGCTCATAATATACTCTCGCATACCGGAGTGGCTCATGCTATGGCAGCACGAACGGCCGTCCTGCAACGTCGGCGGCCTAAAGTCGCCAATCCTGTACACACGAATGCCATGCAATTGCAAAAAGATATTGTGGAATTATTGGCCGATTCGAATTCGGCGACAGCTATAGAATTAGGCAATTTGTTGACGTCCCACGAAATGGAAGGTTTGCTGTTGGCTCATGATCGTGTGGCAACACATACGGACTCTACACCATCGCCTTCAATGAGTGGAACGGGTAGTCCTAGAACAACAGGCTTACAGCCAGCTTCACCGGTGGCAGGGGCTGCTGTGCCTCCGCCAGTACCGATACCACCAAAAACGGCCTCTCTAAGAGGTGTTACTCCAGTGGCGCCGCCAGTGGTACCACAGAGAGGCGCTATGCCTTTGCCGCCCCATATAACACCACATCATGGTGGTTCGCAAGGTGTGGGCGGTTTTATGAAATCTTCAGTTCCGCTAAGAGCTGATTCTCCACCACTTAGTGCCTGCTTTGGGACACTAAATGATCAAAACGACAATATACGTATAATACAAATTGAGAAATCGACTGAACCTTTGGGTGCTACTGTACGCAATGAAGGTGAAGCGGTAATTATAGGAAGAATAGTAAGAGGAGGAGCAGCGGAAAAGTCAGGCTTGCTTCACGAGGGCGATGAAATTCTGGAGGTCAACGGCCAAGAGTTACGCGGTAAAACTGTTAATGAAGTATGCGCTTTGCTAAGTACAATGCAAGGGACACTTACATTTCTGATAGTGCCCGCCGGCAGTCCACCACCAGGCGGCGGTCATCGAGAAAACGCTGTGTTGCACGTACGGGCTCATTTTGATTACGATCCGGAAGATGACTTGTATATACCGTGTCGAGAGTTGGGTATAAGTTTTCAAAAAGGCGATGTTTTGCATGTTATTTCACGGGAGGATCCTAACTGGTGGCAGGCATATCGGGAGGGTGAAGAAGACCAGACTTTGGCCGGCCTGATACCTAGTCAATCGTTTCAGCATCAACGTGAAACTATGAAATTGGCCATAGCCGAAGAAGCCGGCTTAGCCAGAAATAGTAAAGATGGTAGCAGCAGTAAAGGAGCTACGCTACTGTGTGCTCGCAAAGGACGGAAAAAGAAAAAGAAAGCCAGCTCAGAGGCGGGGTGAGCACTCTTATAGAAGCAAGAAATTTTTTTCTTTTTTATATTTAATTTTCTTCTTATCCTATAGTTATCCTCTATACGCCACAACAGCGCCGGATGAAACAGAACCTGAGGAAATACTCACTTATGAAGAGGTGGCCTTATATTATCCACGCGCTACCCATAAGAGACCCATAGTGCTTATTGGTCCTCCTAACATAGGACGTCATGAATTGCGTCAACGTTTAATGGCGGATTCGGAACGCTTCTCGGCTGCGGTGCCACGTAAGTTTTTTTAATAAAGCGCGCAGGTACTGGTTTCCTATACACTAAACTGTTTATAGTCTTCTATTTACTTGAGCAAAAATTCAAACTTAACGGTAAGGTGTTTAAAAAGAAAATTGGTTTAGTAGGTTTTTCAGTAGTAGGCTAGTTCGAATAGGAAAGTCTTTCCGACATTCTTACACTTCTCCATCATTTTTCTTTTTTTTTGTTTTTGCCAACTTTTCCAGATACTTCGAGAGCTAGACGTGAGGGTGAAGTGCCTGGTGTAGATTACCATTTCATTACTAGGCAAGCGTTTGAAGCTGATATCTTGGCACGCAAATTTGTGGAGCATGGTGAATACGAAAAAGCCTACTATGGTAAGTACGATAAACAAAGTATTTATTTTTCAAAACATATATAAAAAGGGATTTTTGAATTCTTTTTAGGCACTTCTTTAGAAGCCATACGCACTGTGGTTGCTAGTGGTAAAATTTGTGTTCTTAATTTACATCCCCAGAGTTTGAAATTACTACGAGCTTCCGATTTGAAACCTTATGTAGTGCTGGTGGCTCCACCTAGTCTCGATAAATTAAGACAAAAGAAATTGCGAAACGGTGAACCATTTAAAGTGAGTGTTTATTATATGTATAAATATGCTATTATTTTGTCTTATGTAATTTACTTACATATATCAGGAGGAAGAACTTAAAGATATTATAGCCACCGCCCGCGATATGGAGGCCCGATGGGGTCATCTATTCGATATGATTATCATTAACAATGATACCGAAAGAGCTTATCATCAGCTACTGGCTGAAATTAATTCATTGGAACGTGAACCGCAATGGGTACCCGCCAGCTGGGTGCATAACAATCGTGAAGAATAGAATACTTAACTAAAAAAGCAAACAAAAAACAAAACAATAAATAAATAAATAAATAAAAAATCAAAAATAATTAAATGAATAAAAAAAAAAATAAATATATTTTGTAAATATCAAAAAAAATAAGAAAAGGTTTAGATAAAGTTAACGATTAGAAAAACAAACACATATTTCCCCAAAAAAAGAAAAACAAAATTATATTTAAGTTCACTTGGCAATAATTATTATTTTAAAATTTTTATTTTATTTTTTATTTGTATTTGTATTTGATTGAATTTTATTAAATTAAATTAATTTTCTATTATTTCGTTAAGTAAAAAAAGCGCGAGACAGAGAGGATCACAAAAATCTTCTGCTTCCATTTTAAACTTTTCTCTGACTTTTAAAGCTCCTTTAAAGATTTTCTTAATTAGCAAAGATATTACAAAAAAGAAAAAAATATATATAAAAAATAAAATAAAAAACAATCATAATACGAAAATTTATATAAATAAAAAAACTAATAAATAGAAAAACTCTATTAATAAAAACGGAAAAATAAAAAGAGAGTAAATAATACAAATACAAATATCTTCTCACTATTTTTCATAAAAATAAATTTTTCTTGTATTAAAAGT